TCTTTTTCTGTTGAGACCTTCTTGAAGAAGTCCATGTGGCAAGGTCGTCTTAAAAATCCTCACTGGGTATTCCTCCTGTGGATTCCACATCTGATCTGTAAACATCATGCTCTGTATTGGAGCTCCAAATCCCCACTCAGATCCCTCTGCAGGAATGAAGGCCTTTCCCCCGCTGAGTGCTGTTGCCCAAAGCCACACCCCTTGACTGATCAACACAGAGATAGAAAGGCCTGGCCCCTTCACCCCACTTTCGGACTGTGAAGAGCCATTCCAGTTCCAGACCCCCTGAGGGTTTGGATGAGACTTTTGTTGAGGCTCCACTTCTCTCTGCCCAATCCCACTTCTGTCCCCCAAATGTGATCCCTCAGAGCATTCCCTGATCAACCTGCTGAACACTAATCTCCCCCTCCTGTTGGCTTCCAGGGAATCCAGCCTGCAAAATACACCATTGCCATGACTAGGTGAGAGGGAGTAAGTTCCAAACCCAGCCCTCCACCTGGCTGCAATAGCCACTTAAGCCAGCTCTCACCCGGGGGCAGTGTCCTGTGTCCCTCAAGCTGCAGGGGACAGACATCAAGCTCTCATGTGGTCTCAGTAAGCCCCAGTCACAGGACTTGGAGATAGTTGAAAAGCATTCCTTTGTCCATGGTGTAGGGAGGGGAAATTCCATGATGTTGACAACTCTACCCCAGAAATCGAACTCTTAGTCCTTGTCTCTATCAGTTCATGCATTCCCTTGAGATGGGCATTGACTAAAGCACACAAAACCATTTTCAAAAGCACTCTGTCCAGTTCTGTATTTCTGTATTTTGAAACTGAGCTAGAAAAAGTCCCATTTTAACACCCTATTACAGGCCAAAGCCATACTATAGGAGTGGGGAGGGTGTCTCTGCCCCCCCACTCTGTGTCATTCTTAGTTACCAGACTTCAGGGCAGTGTTGCTTGGGGCCCAATGTCATCATCTTTATTGACAGCGGCACCTTCATTTCTGCTTGTGTCCTTTCCACTCTAAGGTGGGGCTGGCACATCCTTCCTATCGGCCATTCCTCTCACATGTGTGTGACTTTACCGCCCCAGAGCTCGCACCCACCAGCCGGGCAGACGGGCCAGTGTGGGCGAGGTGTCTCTGAGTCCTAGCAGTGAATATGGCCGGGACTCGAGGTTTACCTGCCTTCTTGTTCACTCTCTCCACCCTCCCACACACCATCACCAGATTCTCACAACACCTGTTGTTTAGAGTATATGATTTTGCTCTCAATTTTCATATTTAAAAAGTTCTAAGAACACATACCTATATATATGCATTTTAAAGTAGTCTGGGAGAGGAAGACTTCTTCACTATTTGTTGAGTGACAAAAGGATAAACACACAAGACCTTTCATGGGCAAAGACATTAATCTCTAAGTCACTGATCATCCAGATGGGAGGGGGGATGGGGAAACTGTGTTTCTTTTAAAACTGGATCCTTCTTAGTAAGCACTAAGAATTCAAGTAGAAAAAAAAAAAGCTCTACTTTTTCTTCCTCCTTTTCCTCAATAAGAGTCACAGAACTCTTTTTGAAAGATGACAAATTCTGGATTTGTACGGTCAAAAGTCACATTTCACTGTAGATATAGCATATGTCTGTGTGAAATTGCCCATGGCTTTGGCCTGAAGCCAAACACAAGGGGTGTGGTTTTCTGGTCACGGAGTTCACCGATGAGGGGTATGAGGATAGATTTGTAAAGTCACAATTTAAGAGTTGGTTTTGTTTGGAGGACTAACAGGCAAATATGAGGGAAGGGGTGACTTCCCTTCCAACCAAATAAATGGCGAGACTAGGCCAGATGGGTGTTACGAGAGATGACGTATGTGGTAGGGCCAGGGCTGGTACCACCCTGAGAGTAAATACCTCCTTAAATTTTGCACCCTGGCCCTGACATGTGACAATACATTGCAAGTTGTAAAATAGTAAAGAAACAGCCCTGCCTTCCAAGATCTCTCCTGTTAGATCCCACTCATCCCAACCTAAATTCCAACCATATCCTGGATCATACTGTTACTTTAACAAGATTACTGAGGCCCTCTGTCTTCTACCTGCCCACTACCCCACTACCTCCCAGTGCCCGCTCTCTACTAAGTTTGTAAGTTAACTGTTTGTCTCGCATCTATCCCACCCTATCCTGTCCTATCCCTCTGTGCTCCACAGAGGACAGAGGAAGCTGGAGACCCAGTCTTGTCCCATATTAAAACAAGAGGGTGTTCTCCTGGGGTCACAGACTTTGTTGCCAAGAGGTCCAGGCTACAGCTAGGGGACAGGGAGGGAAATTTGCTGGGAGATGGGCAGCTGCTCCCATTTTAAGCAGTTTGGGAGTTTCTTTTAGTAATGCCCTCTGCTGCCCTCTGTGGCCAAAACATCAGTGTCTCTAGAGACACTCCTCTAAATCCTGGAATCCATCTCTCTCCGCCACTATCTTTTAAAGCTCTTCTCCTTTAGTGCTCCATTGGCATTAAAAAGTAAAATGGGACCCTCCAGCCACAAGCTGGTGTTAGGTTCACACTCTCTCAGCTCCTTCCTGCAAAGGTTGTTGAACTGAATCCTGGAAGAAATCTTAAAAGGTCATTGGGCTGCTCAGCTCTGCTCTAAGCAAGGCTGGGGCCAATCCTTCTGTATAGGGCTTTTGGTGAATCTCTCAGATTCAATCAGAGAGTCTGGATTCAATCCCAGACTCTTCAAAGTTACTCACTGGGATTTCCACGAAATCCATCCAGTTGTTTATCAGAGCTTGGGGACCTTTCACTTAGAGGGCAAAATCCCAATTAGAAAGATGGGCAGGCTGGCCATGGGGAAGGAGCAATATTGATATGGTAGATGTGTTCTTAAGTGATCCTTTACCTTTCCTCTTTTTTTTTTTTTTTAAACATCAAAAAATCTAATTTCATAAGCTCAGTACAACTGAAATGTTCTGTGTAGGTTGGAGGTGTTGTTCTGTGACTTGAGAGCACAGCCCAGGACTCAGGAGGTTTCTCCTTGCTCTGGCAGTGAACCACTTTGAGCACCTTGGAAGCTGCCAAAGCACCTGTTTCTTCTCCCACTCCTGCACCAAGTGAGATAAGTAAGCTAATTGTTGATTAAGGGAACGCTGTGTCTTACCAATCTCCTTATTAAGGTTAATGTGTCCACTAGGACTGGGCGGCTGGAGAAGCCCAGTTTGAAATCACTCTATTTCTGAAAACCCACCACCTCCAAGAAATGGCCCCCTAAAGAGATTTGCAATCTTTGTTTGAATCCCTTCACTGTCAGGCGTGATGTTTGATTTCAAAGTCTGTGTACACAGTGCTCAGTGGCTCTAGGAAAATGAGAAAATGTGCTTGGTTATCCGGTTCTCAGCAGGTTTTCTCCTCTGCTTTCCAATGCCTTCCAGGCACCTGAAAAGTATTCCCACCCCTCCTGATATGCAAAACAAACAAACAAACAAAAAAAACTCTGTATTTTGGTGATAACACAAACCTATACAAAAAAAAAAGTTCCACTTATGATTATTTTTTCTTAATTTTTATTTTTGTATTGTGGTAAAAAAGCATGGCATTAAATTTACCACCTCAACTATTTTTAAGTGTTCAGTTTAGTAGAGTTAAATATATCCACATTTTGTGCAACAGATTCTAGAATGTTTTCATCTTGCAAGAAGCAAAACTGTATACCCATTAAACACTAATTTGCCATCCCATCCCCCTCACACACAACCACCTTTCTACTGTGTTCCTATGAATTTGGTTACTTCAGATACTTCATGTAAGTGGAATCATACGGAATTTTTTGTGACTGGCCTTTCTCACTTTGCATAAAGTCCTAGAGTTTCATTATGCAGATTATTTAATATAAAATACGGCAAAGCTTATGGGGAAACATACAGCAAGGCTTTCGGTGCCCAGGCTACCAGTTCTGTGGGCCTTTCTCTTCTTTTCCACTCACACCTGTGAAGCCCACAGGCTTTTCTCAAGGCTTGGAAGACTGAGCCTCCCCTGTCCCCGATCCCTACCACCTGGATTAACCAAATGTAGGTAGACGATTGGGTGGGATTCTTGGGAGAGCAGAGTCCACCCAGTCACATAGAACATCGGTGCCTGGGCCAGCACCGATTGAAGGCAGCGTTTAAAAAAATTTTTTTTTAATGTTTATTTTTGAGAGACACAGAGCACCAGCGGGAGAGGGGCAGAGAGAGAAAGAGAGAGGGAGACACAAGCTCCCATGCGGGCTCAGGCTCTGAGCTGCCAGCACAGAGCCCTATGACCGGAGCAGAAATCCCATCCTTGACCGACTGAGCCACCCAGGTGTCCCAAAGGCAGAGTTTAAAGCACATCTGGAAAATCCCTGAGTTCTGACGGCCCGCTCCTTAGATCTCTGGTCTCCCCACACTCGACACCTGAAGTTTTCATGTTCCTAGTGCTTCAAAAAAACCTTGGAGACACACAGGGCAGGCCTGAGGTCCTGTGATTTGAGGACACGCTGTCAACTCTTAATCCGAAAATTACACTGGGAAGCCAGACTGCCTTGGCCAATTCTGAAGTGGCGCAGGCCCACGCTGTGGTGGCCAGGTGTTGAGAGTAGGGTGCGGCAGGCAGGCCAGACAGCTCAAAGCGAGGACCCTCCTTTCCCGCATCCTTATCAAGGTCACAGGGTCCAACACAGCCCCGCAAGCAAACCGGTGTTATCAGTCGGAACGGAAGAACAGGCGAAGCCCTAGCTCTGCCTCACCGAACTGTTTCCCCCAGACCCAACAGCTGCAGGTGGTCTCCCCGCCTCTTCTTCCAGACGGCAAAGTCAGCTGCGTTCGGCCGAAAAAGTGCATCGCCTAGGCTCGGAGCGCGGCTGCTGGGCCCTCGAATTATCCCCATCGGGCCAGGGGACCAGGCAGCAGGGCGAGGGAAGCAGGAGCGCAGCACTTAGGAGCGGCTCTGCGAGGCCCGGCAGAGCGCGGGACCCTCTGAACTCGCGGTCCTGCCCTAGACCCAAAGGTATGGCGGAGGTGGAAGGACACCGGTGCAAAGGGGCGCTCCCGGCGCTCGCAGCACTCCCGGAGACCGACTTCTCGCTGCCGGTTAGCCCCACTTAAGCTGCGCCTGCCCGGTGCGGAGTCCCA